GCAGAGTTGTAGGACAGTTCACAGTCTCTTCCTTATAGGCCCCTTAGATGCCCTGGATGTGCTGCAGGGGGGCTGCAGTCTGGACACGCTTGCTCTGGCAGCGACCACACAGCCTCAATCTCTAAGTGGCCAGACCCCTCTCCCAGTCTGGCTTGCTGGGCCTCTTGGCTGGTGGTATCTCCCTGCCCAGAGCCTCTCTCCACACTTTGCTGGTCCCAGCTGCTCACCACACCCAGCTGTAGGCTGTGCTGCTTTGCCAGTCTCAGCTCCTTGCGTTGCTTCTCTGTCCCTTTTGGCTTCTCTGAGCACTGCCAGTCTGCTGCTCAACACAGGGTCTGTGCTCCTTGGGCTGTGTGTGCCTGGCTCTGTTGCTGCAGGACTTCTTCTGCACACAGCTTGCACTGCTCTTAGCTGTGTCTTAGCTCTCTCCTTGCTCAGAGAGACCCAGAACAATCCCAGCTCACAGGGAGGACTGGGCCTGGCCTCTTGCTTTCCTCACTGGCCTGTCCAACCTGTCAATCAGGCTGAGCTGGAGTGTTGGCTGCTTTCCATTGTCTCAGGGAACTGTCAGTCTCATGGACCCTTCCCCTTTTGATACTGGGAGCTGACAAACCAAAAACTCCCACAGAGTTTTAGTAAGGGGCTAACAGTGCCCTTACATAGGGGATGTCCTTCCCTGAGGCCCACTTAAAGATTTCCCCTTCAGCTCTACTCCCTCTTTCATCAGGGCTCAGGTGTAAATTTCCTCCCAATCGTCCTCTGTGCTCTACCACCCATCCCAGAGAAAGGGGAAGAAACATGCAATCTCTCTCCCTGCAGTCCTCTTCTACTCTGGGAATCCTCCCTTTATAAAAATCATCCAGCTGGGAGAAGGACAGCAGGCAGTATGTATGGAAGGAAACTCCATGTTTTTTCTTTGCTAAGATGTGGATTTTTGTTGTTGTTTTTGCCTCTCCCTCCAAAGAATGGTCATTTAGCAGGTAATGGTCCTTCAGCTTTGCTTACCTTAGCTGACCTGTCAGCTTGCCTGTTGTTTCTGAGGAACTGGTTTGACCACTACTCAGATGTATCTGAAAAATCGACTTTCAGTCATGATCTCAGCCTGTGTTCATAACTTGACACATAATAGTCCTGTGGGACTTTTTCCATAATATTGATTGGCAAGTTTGAGTTTTTAAATGATACCTCACAAGACATGCCTTGTGAAAAGATTATTACAATAGTGGCCAGGGTGGAAACATAGGGATATATTCTGTCACACAGGGACATGCCCAGCATTCGCACCAATATATATATATATATATATGCCATTTTATTAATTCTGCACTGCCGTGTGAACAATTGAGCTCTATTTTCAACAGATAATGGGGCTCAAAGGATCAAACTTATTAGTGCATAGAGGAAAAATGATGCAATTAATCACAAAGTTTAAATACTATTGCATTTCTTATATATCCTACCGATCACTCACTGTGATCTGGAAAACACTGATATTTTGCATGGCAAGAAGGAGGGAAGTAGGAGGGGAAGCTATTAGCACTCTCAACCAGTAAGCCACACACAGATCCTCTGCTCTCCCCTTAGGCTGGGAAAATAGCAGTGTCCACTGGTCAGCCATGCGTGCTGGACACAGTGGGAATTCGTTCCGCCCTGTCTTCCCTCTCCTGCCTGCAGGCTCCTGTGGGTTGGGAAAGTATCACTGT